ATTTTTTAGTTGTAGTTGTCAATACCTTTATTTTTTTAATTTATTTTTATATGGTGCTGAGGATTGAACTCAGGGCCTTGCACACATTAGGTGAGYGCTCTACCGCTGAGCCACAACCCTGGCCAAAGCCCATAATCTCAAAGGCTTAAACAGAGCGATCTCTAGGCTGCTTATGTATCAGTTCAATGCAAGTGTTTCTTGTCAGCAGATGAGGCTTCCACAATGTGTCCCAGGAATCCAGGTTCTTTCTAAGTCAACACCCAATGTTAATAAACTCATCTGAAGTGATCTATCATGAAGAGAAAGAGCATGGAGCACTAAATCCAGGAGAGGATGTATGGGCTGGACCTTAAAGCAGTGTACATCACTTCTATTAACATTCTATTGCTAGAACTGACACCACCATCCCTAACTTCAAGGGAGGATAGAAATATCATCCCTGTGCCTAAGAAGAGGAAGAGTGTTTGGTGAACAGGTACCATGCCTCTGCCACAATGAGTGATGCAGTTCCTCTCAAAGAGCTCCAGGTAGAATTGTTTGGGGTCCTCCTGTAGCTATTTACCTTTCTTCTTTTTGTAGATTTGACCTATAAGAAATTTTATCACCAAGAAGGCTGAACTTTGTTAGACGGGACTTCAAGTCCAAGCACTACTAACAAAACTAGTAAATATGTTCTTGGGAATTCCTTCCTCTTGATGCCTCAGTTTTCTCATCTGTAAAATGGRCCACAACCACCATGACATTGGGTGGRTCAGGTGAAAAGGTACAAGTACAGCTCTCAGAATAAGGGCTGGCAAGTTATAAACATTTGAATCATTAAGATACTAATGCTACTGCTAATAATGATGATGATAAATAATATTATTATCATTATMGACTAGTCCAGATTTTTTTAAAGAATCTAAAAGACAAATCATTTAGTTAAAAATGATTACGGTAATATTTACATAAGTACATCGTTGTAGGATTTTCATTTGGGACCTTGTATTATAAAATAAAGGCATTRATATCCTAATTATGAATCTTGACTTCTTAGAAACAATGCTTTCCTTGTAGAGAGTTCATTTCTTGAAGTCTAATGGAACTCTAATGTAAAGGAAAATTTAGTTGAGGACTAGATGGGACTAATTTAAAAATCTCCGAAGGTGGTGGGAAAGTAGGATTAACGGAAAGGCATGATTCTTTATTTTCTTAATAAAAACCTTGTAACTAGAAGAAAAACAAGAAAGACAATCATTGAAACTTCCATTGAAATTGAGACAAAATGTGGGAAAGGCCTACACTGGAGTAAAATGAAAACTAATACCAGTTAAACAAGTTCTTTTCCAACCATTATCTTAGATCTGAAAGAAATCAAGAATGAATAATTTGGGCTGGGGATATAGCTCAGTTGGTAGAGTGTTTGCCTTGCACGCATAAGATCCTGGGTTCAATCCCTAGCACCACAAAAAAAAAAAAAAAAGAAGAATAAATAATTTAAATAATTTAAGGATTTAATGCTACCTTGGACAAGGTGAGTCAACAACTTACAGAGGTATAGAAGCCCAGATTACTAGTTTGAAGGTCTTTCAAGGACACCAATATTCATAGGAAAAAGTCCTCCCATTTGTTCTCATCTTCAGGTCTCTGTGCTCCATTTTGGTGGTGAGCATTCTTTCCTTTCTGATTTCCTTCTTCTTCTTCTTCTTTTTTTTTTTTAGAATATAGACCTTTTTTTACTTTTTTATTTTTGTGTGGTGTTGAGGATCAAACCCAGTGCTTCACACATGCTAGGCAAGTGCTCTCTCTACCAATGAGCCACAATCCCAGCCCTCTTATTTCCTTCTTGATATAAGGACCATTCCAAATTCTGTCTCATCATCCTCCTTCCACAGATTCACCATGGCCCTCCCTAGAGTTCTGGCCCCTTCTGCAGCTCAGCTCCTTCCCCTCCATCCAGCTCTATAACCAAACTGTCAGGGGACATTCTACTGACTCATAATTATGAGAGTTCCTTTTTGCCAAATGGTCTGTCTCAACCATCCTGTTTCCACCAACAGACTGCCATAGGAWCCATGTGGTAAAGAAAGAGCCCAAGAGCCTCAGTCTTAAACATCTAACCAGCAAGGACTACACTGCAACACAAAAACAATCTCCACACATGGAAATGATCAACAGCTCAATTTCCAATGTCAAGACAAGTATCATAAAAAAAAAAAAAGACAAGTATCATAAAAATGGTTTGTAGGGCTATAGGATAACTCTAAGTCCATCTTCCAAAGCCGTAAAGCCAGTGCCTTTGCTGGAACAAAGTCAACACAGAGAATTCCAGTACTGCTTTTTTGAAATAATATAGGCCTGGTCTGCTCAAATAAACAACATTCCCAGGCACAGATGGAGAAAGGTTGACCAATGGGTGCTTAGGAGCAAGCARCTCTGGTGTGCCACTGCATAACATAGGGACTACAGATAACAATTATGCATTGTACATTCCAAAAAGCTAGGAGAATTTGAAAGTTTCACCACCAAGAAATAGTAAATGTTTGAGGAGAAAAACATGTTTAATCTGATTTAAACATTAGTGTATACATGTGTCAAACATTACATGGTAYCCCCGTAATATATATACTTATGTTTTTGTGTACAAATACAAAAAAATAATTTAAAAAAATTAACATTCCCTTCCTAGCTGACTCATTAACTGCAACACAAAAAAAAGCAGCACTGGAATTCTCGGTATACTCTGCWAATCTGAATAAAGACAGGAGAGGACATCAAAAGAAACGACAAGATATGCACAATTTACTAAAACTGTGTAACAGCACCTCCTTTTAAAAGAAAAACAAAAAGAACACTGCATAAGATTAATATTCCATTTGTATAATCCAAGCTCTGCAGGTTATGATGTAATGAACCAAATTAATTATCTCCCACATTCCTTCTGATATTTGATCACTCAGTTTAGAAGGTGCATTTTAAAATCTAAGAATCTTCAGGTGGAAATTGCAACACCTTGAGGGCAGCACATTTGGTAAAAATGGCTCACTGAAGTTGGGGAGGGGCYGATTTCCTGCCATTCAGTTCCTCATTGTAACTATTCTTTGCAATATTTCAAACAGATATGAACATGCATCCATGAATCCAGTTACTTTTACATTAAAATTTGTCTCTGCAGAACAAAGTCATAGCTGGGAGTTACAGAGATGAGGTTCTAAAAGAAAAGCAAGTGCCCATGGAAAGGTAATGTGATGCAGCCTTTTTTTTTTTTTTTTTTTTTTTTTTGGTAATACCCTCTCTCAAACCCACATGTGAAATAATTTCAACAAACCTCATTTAAGGCAAAGGAAATGATGAAAGATGTATTTTAATTCAGATATGTTGCATTTCCTTCCATGGAAGTCTTTAAGGACACACAGATCTACAACAGATGGCTGAAGGAGCAAGAAGTTCTGCCTGCTATAGGAATGTGTATAGAGCTATCTTCCTAAAGCCTCTAACTCATAATTCATAAAGCAAAGGATGTTATGATCTTCGTCCCTATCCAGTCTTTTCTTTAAAAATGTTGCAAGTTGCTCCACTTCCAATATAATGACTCATATCAGTCCTGAATATTATCTTAGGGGAAATAAGTTCAGAAATTCTTTGAATCTCTACTTGGGTTGGTCAAAAATCAACTTTCAGAATAGAAGTCAGAAAGCTAGCCATGTGTTTATGTAGTACAACACCGCCACCTAGAGGCCAAATGCTAAGTAAATGGACACAGCCAAACTGAAAAGCTGGAGGAGCTACTTACTGCCTTTCACAACAATGTCCACCGGGATGCAAAAACATTTCACCTAAACCCCCCTTAACATTTTTATATTATTCTGCGTTTCACATTCAATTAAATTCTATTTCACTATTCTCTTTAATTGCTCCCTGAATTTAAATTTTTCAGTAGTCATAGCTAAAAGCAATATTTAAGGGGCATCTATGCAACACAATTTTTTTACAGAGAGGGTCTGTATAGCCCAGGCTGGCCCCAAGCCTCCYGAGTAGCTGAAACTACCAGCATACACCACCACACACAGCTGTACCATATATATCTGGAAGTAGTATCTCTATTTAATCAACAAGGGTCTGAGGAAGGAGGTAAAGATAGGCAGTGTGGGGCTGCCAATTCTGGAGAACAAGCCCTGCTTTGCCACTAACTACATCTGTGACTAGTTTGGCCACTCTTGGTTTACCTGGGAGAGAGCCAGTTTACACCCATTGCTCAGGCATAATTATGAACAGTCTCTCTTCCTCTTTCAACAGTGTCTTGATTTGGGGTTTAAATTATATAATCATTTATAACCCTCAACAAGGCTCTTTATCCCCTCTGGGCCTCAGTTTCTATCATCTAAAAAAATGATACAGGATTAGACAGTATTGTAAGAGGTTTTTTGCAAACTGTTTTGATTTCCATTTTAGTTTTAAAACTAACTTCTTAAGTATTCCAAATACGAGAGTAAAGATCTTTCAACCTCTATCTCCATCCTGTTGATAAACTAACGTATACTTTTCTCTCATCAGCTTAACCCCTGTGTTAGGCTCTGCATGTATGCAGATAAATGGCTTAAAAGACACTTAAGAGTCAGTAATGAGTATCTCGAGAACTTGGGGAAAAAAAAGAAAGGAAGATGGTACCAATTTCAGCTAACAGTATTCTATGTCACTCATCTTTGATTCCTTAGCTTGAATACAATGCATCAGTCATGCCAGACTTTGGACAATTCCCCACTAGTAATGTTTACTGATGTCCAACTCCCAACCAAAACACATTTCATCTGAGTCTATACCTCCTATCCCACAGGAGAAACGGGCCAGGGAAGATRTCTGCACACAATTCCCATATCAAGATAGAACTCTAGTCCTGAAACATTAACCAAATAAGGCAGACAAGAAAAGAAAATGGATGATGGATGGGAAGAGGACAGAGTGGGACAACCCAAGGTTCCATCACCCCACCCTCTCATACCTTAGGCAAGTAGGAAAACTGATTTTGGAGTAAATACATTTATTGATACCCATTTTATATATAGTTCAATGAAATAATCTATAAATATAAAAGCATTTTCTTTTGGATATCACCATGGTCCATGTAAATACTCAACAGTCAAAATCACCTGAAGGAAGCAGTCCAAGTCACACTGTTAGGTTTACAGACCTGAATATATATATTCCATTAAACAGTGGCACTTAAGTACTCAAGTGGTCCAGTGGCTTTGGGACATATGACTACCGGGCATGTGAAGTAAAAATAATGGGTAAATTTAAATCAACAGAAAGGGTATCAACCACTGACAAAAAGAAACAATTACAAATTAATATCCCAGGTGAAGTAAGTACCACAGTTGACACTTGGTGTCAGAATACTGGAGACAAGGTATGTTAAACAACACATGTGGCACSGCATGCTCTCTCCAACACCCAGTGGAGTTCACCAGTGCCTTAAGTCATTCGTGGTCAACAAACATCAATTCTTAAAGAATCTAGATAGCTTAGAATAAAAGGTATGGGGAGGCTGATATCAAGATTAAAGAAAAGTGGACTAAATATTTCAGTGACATAATGAGTTTCTCCCCTAGAAGGGGATTGTGGGGAAAAAATTAAACTCCTTTGTTACATTTAGCATGATCATTTATCAAACGCAGGAGGAAAAAACTCATACATCTGGTATTCAAAACACAGGTGTAAAAATTTTCTTCCGCTTCAAAGTTTTTCCTCAATACTTCCAAGGGAATGGGTGCAGCCACTGTTGAGCCTTGCTCTCCACCTGATGCAGCACAAAATTTTCTCTCATTTCTTCAATAACAATCACAGGAATGTCTTTTGCTGCGATCAGACGATGCGTCCTCTGAGTTAGCAAGCGAGTGCATTTCAAGGGTCTTAGAGGTGCAATGTCCAAAACTRAGATCGGAGAGGCAGTGTTAGAACTTAAGCAAAGCAGGGTTTAGAGACTACTCAAACAAAAGCCTAAAGGAAGCATATAAAAATTCAGTTTTTTCTATTATTTTCAGCTGGAATTGATGGCAACATTCCCTGGTATGATGAATAAATGGTGTGATCTCCAGGTCCAAAATATCCCAASTATTTAAAGTAGGACCCAAAAGAGGAGAAAGACACACTTGAGTTCTGTGGTGTCTAGAATTCCTTTTTTTGCCATTTTTAAAAAAAGAAATAGTAGCTTCAGTTGTATACCGCTGGTTGAAGGGGTTTTCATCCAAATGAGAAACTCTACCCCTCGTCTCTAGTGGAACAGGCACCAGATTCCCACAAGCAGCAGCTCCCATGTCCTGCAGCACGTGGCATCTGACCCTCSAGTRAAGAGTAAGCTGGCATCGAGCCCTGATGCTGTAATTCAGACTAGATGGCATTTCGTGGSGTGCCATTGTGTGCCAATGCTTTCAGGCTAGGGGCACTGGTCTGGTGACTACAGCTCCTATGAGAAGTCACACCCACCTCAAAAACCTCATGAATAGCTTTTCGGAAACAGTGGAAGTTGTAGTCTATTAAACCTGCAAGAGAAAAAAAGATCACACTTCCTGAATGTCAAGTGTGAAATTATCCACTACAAAACATTTGTGACAGAGAAAAATTGATGTGTAAGAAAAAAAAAAAAAACACTGAGGAAACACAATAAAGCATAAACTCAAAATGTTAACAATAGTTACTTCTAGGGCCTGACAGTAAACATGAGAGCAATTAATCTAGCAACTAGGGAGGTAAATTTGCTTAAAAAAAATTTACAGTGAAATATAAAGGTAAATACTTTTTGAATTACCAAGCTTCTCCTTTTACAAGTCTTTGGGGCAGCCAAAGAAGGCCTTAAGGAAATGGGTATGCAAGCAAACTGCTCAATGGMTTTCTGGAGTCTGGGAAGGGCCCAGGGCACATCAGGCAGAGCTCCAGGCAGCCTGAACCCCCCTCTTCAAGCAGGCAGCTTCCTCTTTAACCTGTTTCAGGAACTGGGCTTTCATACAGGATTTTAGTTGAACAAAGGATACTATTTTGTGACAGAAATGGCTAGCTGCCTATCAACTAACCATTTTTCCCCTTCTTCTCTTAGAAGCACTAAGAGAAGTGCTCATACAACAGTGTAGGGGCATTCTGTTGTTGAGCTAAAACATCACATTTCCCAGTTTTCTTTGCAATCAGATATAGTTACATGACCAATTCTGGTCACTGAGATAAATAAAGTATGTGGGAGTTTTATGAACTCCCCTTAAAAGGAAAACGATGTATTTTTCCCCTGTCCTAGCTCTTCTTTATTAATGTCCGGAATATGGATAAGATGGCTGGATTATAACGCAACCATGAGAAGAAAAGCAAGAACTAAGAAAAGGCAGAGCAGGAAAAGAAGCACTTAGGAGGTTACCAGGAACTTTCCTACCTCCAAACTTCTTTAAATTTGAGAGGGACTTAAACTTCCATCTAGTGTACCTTGGTCCATCTGTTATATGGATTTGCAGCCAAGCCTAACCCTGACCCATAAACACTACTTGAAGTTCTTTAAACCTCCAAGCCAGAGAGCAACCTCTCAATCTCAGCTGGTCATCATATGTATTCACTGTCACAAAATTCTCTTGTGAACACAACAAACATGCAATTTGACCATCACCATGGCCAAATTAATATCTTCAACATCAAAGTTTCAACTCACATTCAGGAGCWGTAAAATATTAAAATACACTGTGGGGCCTGCCTGAATACAGTATATAACCTTTCAGTAATCTATATTTGATTTGTTGAAAATTATTAAACACTCACTGAACAGCATCTTACAGGGTATCAATGTGTCAAAAGCAGCAGCAGATATGGCCCATGTCTTCAAGGAATGCTAGCTGAGGCATAAAGCCAACACACAAGAAACAAATCAAATCAACGTGATGTCAACTGACTACAAATGTGAAAGAACCCAAGGAAGGCAGAGCCAAGTGCAGGGCAATGTAATCAACAGCCCTGGAAGCTTTAGGGCTGAGGCAGAACTTTGGGCAAATGGGTGAGATTTAATTACACAGGAAAGGGGAGAAAAATTAAAGAAAATTGCAGGGAGTTGGCAATGGGAACACAGTACAACTGGAAGACAGGAAAGAAACTGGGCTGACTGGAGAGAGGAGCGTCAGAGAACTCTTGGCATAAAGTGCTGAGAATCAGGTCTAAATGAGTAGATTAAAATCAAATTGAGGTGGTCCTTCCTACTGAATGGGGAAAAACATATAATATTAAATCACTCTTAATTTTTTATGCTTATTAATACTAATATTCTGAAACCTATGTAGACAAAATGATTTAATATAGGAGATTTGCTTCAAAATAATCAAGAGTCAAAAAAGACACACATATGAAACCAGACAAGCTATGATTTTTATAATTGATGAATGCTGGCGATAGTTTTTTTTTAAAAGAGGTTTATTATTACTTTATATATATACATGACTGCATGACCAATATGATTCTACAACACGTACGCTCAATATCCCATCTATGTATGATATATCAGAGTGCATAAATGCATTCTACTGTCATGTATAATTAAAACAAACTAAAAAATTAAAATGGAAAAAAATTATGCAGAATTTAAAAAATAAAAAAAAATAAATGTATCAAACCCATTTTCAGAAAAAAAAAAGAGGCTTATTTTACTATTTTTCTTTAATTCTGTATCTGTTTAACAGTTTTCACAAAAAAAGAGTGAAAAAAACAATAATAAGGGCTGGGGATGTGGCTCAAGCAGTAGTGCGCTCGCCTGGCATGCGTGCGGCCTGGGTTCGATCCTCAGCACCACATACCAACAAAGATGTTGTGTCCGCAGAGAACTAAAAAATAAATATTAAAAAATTAAAAAAAAAAAAAAACACAATAATAATCAAATGGGGAAGGGTAACATACAGAGGAAACTGGATTGAATACATCTGAATGAATGCTGAAGCAGGCAGCCAAAGAAGATTTGTTGGCTAGTGTACTTTTGCACACACCTAAAATTTTCCACAAGTTAAAAAAAAAWWTTTTTTAAGAGTAGAATGGGAAAAAATAAAGACTAAGAATCAGTATTAAAAATAATAAAGAAAGGGCAGGGAATATAATTAGTAGTGGAGTGCTTGCCAAGCTACCATATACAAGGCCCTGGGTTCAATCCTCAGCACAACAAAAAATAATAAAAATTTAAAAATTAAAGTATATGAACTAGAAAATTACCAAAGAARCCTGAACAGCCATGAGGAGACACCTGCCCTATCAGTAATAAGGTGAGAACTAAATGAGATACCATTTCATATCTACCAGAGTGAAAATAATTATAACAGTCTGACAATATCAAATATTATCAAGGATAAGAAGTGATAAGAACTCCCATATGGTACTGCCAGCAATAAAAATGTCAAAGTCACCTGGAGAGCAATTTGGTAATGTCTAGAATGTTAAAAATGGATTTTTTCCCAAATACCATTCCTAAATACATACTCTAGAGGAAATTCTCCACATGTATAAAAAGACAAACCTGTTCATGATCATTTGTCACAAAACTATTCATAATTTTTTAAATAATCTAAGTGTTCAACAAGAAAATGTGAAGTCTATTTAACCCGTAGAATGCTACATGGCAATGAAAATGAGCTAGAGCTGTGTGTTATCAATATCTGGATAAATGTCAAAAAACAATACTGAATGTGAAGAAACAGGCAAGTTTCAGAAAACAACTTATATCTAGGAAGAAGTCATTCACACAAACACACACAATATATTGTTTTGGGATCAGTATTACATAAAAGACTAAATCACGTATAGGAAAAATAAAATACACATAGCACAAAGAGACCTCAACCGAAAGAAATACAAAAGACTTCAACTGTGTGTCACATTTCTGTTCTTAAGCTCAAAAGTGAATATTCTACTCATTTTGGCTTTATCAAAAAATTAATGTATATCTGAAATATTTCTTTTAAGAGGTCAGGCAAAAGATTGGGATCTTGTTGCAGAAAATGATACAGTGCTATTATAGATCCTTGAGTAGTGAACATGACAAAACATTTTCTGGCTGGGGGTACAGCTCAGTGATAGGACACCTGCTTAGCAGCTTAGTGCATGAGGTCCTGGGTTTGATTCCCAGCATTAAAAAAAAAAAAAAAAAAAAAAAATTCTGAAAACTAGTCTACCTTTGGATAAAATGTGATATACAGGAGATCTTCACAATATATGTCAAATGTATATTATCCAGTAGAAGGTCACTGTAGCACTACAGGCCTGGAGGGATAAGGACCTGAACTGGAGTCAATGACAGTAGAAATGGAAAGGAGTTCCAAAGAACAAGTGATAAGCAAGTGATAAGATCTGGTGAAAAGTCAGTGCAAACAACATAGAAAAATGGAAAAAGGAGAACATGAAATTCCCTCCGTGAACCAAGCTGCAAGGGCCTCTTCAGCAAAGCAACACATGATCTGACTACAATATATCTAAGGCTGGCTTAAGAAAAATGGCTTAACTAGTGACAGAAAGAGGGCAGCCAAAAGAATCATGAAACACAGGGAAAAATAATCATCAGCCGTGATTAACTCAATGGCCAAGAAACCAGTCAAATGTTCAACTGGAGATATCTTACTAATAATTCCAAACATAGGACTGGAACATGAGCTCAAGGAAGAGCTGGAGATGTAAAACTGAATCAGTCACATACAGAAAATCAACCAAAGCCATAAACTGGATGAGTTCACCTGGAGAATGAGTGAAGAAGCAAGCAGAAAATTTTGAAGAACACAGGATTGCAAAAAGTAGGCAGAGGAAACAGGAAAGGCAGTCAGAGAATACACACACACACACACACAATATGACTTGAAACATTAGACTTATTAGGGAGAAGAAAGTTCCAAAAGAGGGACTGACAGGATCACATCTTCAGAAGGCTGAAGAGACTGTAGAATGAGAAAATGCCACTGAATGCAGCAAGAAGGTAACCTGTTTAACTTATAAGAAATAGTTTTAGTAGACTGTTCCGATAGAAGCAAACTGTGGGCAGTTAATGAAGTATCCGTAGTAATAGAGGCTGGATAAAAAAACCTGACTTGTGGGCTGGGGTTGTGGCTCAATGGTAGAGTACTCGCCTTGCACACGCAGGACCCTTAGCATCATATAAAAATAAATAAGTGAAATAAAGGTATTGTGTCCAACTATTTACAAATAAAAACTGACTTGTAAGATTAAAAGAAGGAAGGTGAGTATGGGTAATGTATAAAAGGGAGCTGATTTTATGTATACATACACACACACACACACACATATACATACATATATATGTATASACACACACATATTTTTAAGATAACCATTTTTCTTTTTCTTTTTTTAAAGAGAGAGGGGGGAGAGAGAGAGAGAGAGAGAATTTTTAATATTTATTTTTTAGTTCTCGGCGGACACAACATCTCTGTTGGTATGTGGTGCTGAGGATCGAACCCGGGCTGCACGCATGCCAGGCGAGCGCGCTACCGCTTGAGCCACATCCCCAGCCCAAGATAACCATTTTTCTAACACTCAATATATTTTCAAAAACCTGACAATGTAACATAAAAACAGTTTTTTAAAATGTCATTACCTTTTCGTTCAAAGCTCTCTTCCCTAAGAATGCAGACCAGTGCCAAAAATTTAGTCACCTCCTTTAAATAAAGGACAGTTGTATTATTCAGCTTGATAATTGCCATAGATTCTTTGTCATAAGCACTTCCACTTCCATCTTCCTTTAACCTATTTTAAAAGAAAGGACTACTCATTACAGGTTTTCCAGTTTATTTTATCACAATTGATTTGTACAATGACAAGTCAATCCATCCGGGTTCCTAAATGTTTTGATAAGGAATAACAACAGTAGCTTAACTATATTGAAACAGAGCTCACATTTAGGTATAGAGCTCCCAAACACAGAGCCTCGGGGATTCTCAGCAGCAATAAAAAGCTCCATACCTAGCCATACTATTACAAATAATCAGGCATTTGGATGAAAAAGTGAAGATACAGGTAGATGTTAACCAGGGAAATTACAACATTCCACCTCTGTGCTCCAGGAGCTACTTACTTGCTCAGGTTGTATGTTGTGGGCACAGCTAAGAGGTCTCCTCTCCTTACTTCCCTCAAGCCACAGGGCTCCTCTGGGACCTACCACCACCTCAGCAGTTTCTTCAACGCACCTTTACGTGCCAGGCCAATCACACCTTTTCTCAGTAAGACTTTTTTTTTTCCCCCCTGCTTCTGACAAAAGCAAGAAAATAAGAACAGCCCCAGCTAATGTCCAGGAGGAATTATGTTGAAATCAACAATTTTTAGAGATGGGCTCTGACATATTCTCTGATATACTTGTTTAGCAAAAATCTAACAATTGCTTGGAATTAATTTCTAGAAATTGCTAGGAATTAAAAGAGTTTTCAAAATTGCCTTTTTAAAACAAGTACTTTTCCTCAAGAAAAAGAAAGAAACTGAAGGAAATATATTTAAAAGAAACTGTTAATAGTTGTCATTGATAGAACACTGATTTTTCTCTTTCACCTATTTTGGAGATGAAGGTCTCATTATGTTACCCATGCTCATTTCAAACTTGTGGTTCTTAGTGATCCTCCTGCCTCAGCCTTCCAAGAACTGGGGCTACATGTATTTTCTATGTATGTTTTTCATGAGTGAGGGCTTCTTTTTTTAAACTCTTCTGAACCTTACAACTTACCTTCTTATATGTTAATTTTATCCTCATAACACCCAGAGAACAAGAATTAATATATCTATATCTAACCACTTCTAGTCCTTTCTGAAACAAGTCAAAATAAGCTCAATAAGTAAGAAAACTATGAGGGCTGGGGATGTGGCTCAAGCGGTAGCGCGCTCGCCTGGCATGCGTGCGGCCCGGGTTCGATCCTCAGCACCACATACCAACAAAGATGTTGTGTCCGCCAAAAAAAACTAAAAAATAAATAATAAAAATTCTCTCTCTCTCTCTCTCTCTCTCCTCTCACTCTCTCTTAAAAAAAAAAAAAAGAAAACTATACTCATTTTAAAGATGTAAAAACTCAAGTTCATTAAAAGTAAAGTGACCTCTTGGCAATGTCAGGATTCAAACTTAAAAGTATTTAACTCAATTCCATTACGTTTCCAGTATCTTTCCTAGCTAGTATAAATAAAGTTGATTTGGGAAGGTAGACCAATGAGGAAGTTAAGTGTCATTTGCTGCAAGAACATAAAAGAAATCTACTTCCTTCTGATGGAAAAGAGGAAGTCATAAAAGCTATGTGTTCTCAGCTTATAGTTAGACCTGAGTAGATCCTTCTCTGTGCTGTATGGAAAATGAGAGCAGGAGCTAACTCTGACAACAGGCTCTGACACAGACAACCCTGACAATGACTCCTTAAACCCTATGTACCCACAGCCAGCAGCTGAAAGAAGCTGCAAAGTTTCTCATGTCAGGAGAGTATATGATCTTGAATTTCATACTATGATGAAAGAAGACAGGCACATTCTGGACTTGGGATGTAGCTCAGTAATACAGCATTTGCCTAGCACATGGAGGCCCCAAGTTCAATCCCCAGCACTTCAAAAAAAAAAAGAAGCATATTCTACTCAAAGTCCAGGGATTAGTCAGATTTTATTTTGGTAATTAATAAAATTAAGAAAAATATGCTAATGGCCTTAGACAAAGCTTGCTCAAACAGTGTGTTTAAAGCACAATATTTAGTTTCTATGTTTTCCTATTTTGATAGTTTTTATGACCTTTAGGCAAATATGATTATCTGAAGCTTAGTTCTTACCCAAGCAGAAGTTCTAAGGTCATAGCCATGAGGAACAAGACTTAGAAGCAGCACACCCTAAGGGCTTCAAACAAGAGGGGAGGGAAAAGGAACCTGGTTAGTACTCAAACCATGAAGTGAAAAGCTTGTAGAAGATATCCTGCGATAAAATGCACACCAAGTGTCCACAACACACTCTTTGCCCTTCTGTAACCAGCAGTATTCCATGCATTCAGACACCTTCCCCTTGTCACACAGGATGCATGGAATACGGCAGGCTTTAAATCTTCCCTCATATAAATATGCACTGACATAGTCTATAAAAAAAGGATCTAAGGATATGAAAACTGCTATTAGTAGAAAGTGATTAAATATAAAAACTAAAAGAAATATAGTCTACTAAATATACTGTGGCATGCTGATACTTGCAAAGTGAGACTTATGGGGCTAAAAGCTACTTCATTTATTAAACCAGCATTGCCAGAATTATATGTAGTCCCCCTTCAAAAAATGTAAATCCAGAATTAATTAATAAACAAATTAACTACAATTAAGCTCGTCAAACTGCATGTACAGAATATGTTGAGAATAGTGAAGTGGTATACTATTTTCTTTAAAAGTTCATTATGATGTCTATATCTCATTATGTGCCTTACTAAATAAATTTTAAAATTAAATTTGATTTTCAAATTGTAAAATATTTGTCTTAAAGAAAAAGCAAACATTCTACTCATCCATTATTAAAATTAGGAGTGGGGGTGCTGGGGATATAGCTCAGTTGCTAGAGTGCTTGCCTTGATGCACAAGGCCCTGGGTTCAATCCCCAGCACCACGTACTCACACAAAAAATGAGAAGTGAGGAACATAAAACTTTATTGAGAAATACRAGAGATAACGAGTCTCATTTTCACTACAGAAATAAAACAAGGGAGAACATGTAATCAAAAAAAAAGTGAAAAAGGAATAAGAAATGGAAATAGACAGGTCATGAATGGATAAGACAGGGTTGGAGGTGTATGTAGTTTACACAAGGAATTGAGTTCTAATCCCAACACTGGGGGGGGGGGGGGACGACAAATGCACTCTCCTGTCCAGAGGCAGCTGGAGAAAAACACTGATAAATCAGACAGACCAAGAAGGATGTGGTCAGAGGTGAAGCAGAGAAGAGAAACAGAGGATACAGGTATTAGAAGGTAAAAAGCAGATGAAAACTTCTTGGGAATTAAGATGTTAATAAAAAGGAATCAGGACTATGACTATCAGAGGACACACAGAATGTTATTGGCTTTTGAAACACCAATAATTCCCCCAAATTTTCATTCTTCTTGGTACCTATTCTACAAAATCACTATTTTCTATCTTTCATAAATTTTTACATAGTTTTGTAAATTTACATATGGGAAAAGCTCACATTTTAGAGATTTGTTTTGGAAACTCAGATGTATAGGTTAAATTTTTATATGCATAAGTCCTTCTACATCTAAAATTCTGACTACTTTATTTCTTTGCTCTCTGAAAGATTTAGAATCCATCATTTCATAAAGCCTGAGGTTAAATTAGGACCAGCACTTTATCATTCAGAAATTTAAATAAATTAACAGTTTTTTGATCTAGCTAAGTCCAAGTAGTGAGTAGACACAGTGCAAATTCCTCAAGTAATGGCAGAAGAAACTTTCAGAGATAAAGAAATCAGCACTCATCACATTTTCCAACTGCTCTTTTCCATGCCCTCTGAAGGAGTAAGAGCCAGCAGCCCTCTTTAAGAGAAGTCTTGCTCCAAGTTGAAGCACTACCATCAAAACAATCCCGTTTCATACAGTACTTGCCAGAGGCGTCAGAAATTCCCTCAACAAGTAGAGCTGTTAGTTTCCCACCTGTCTGAAGTCTTGCAGAATTATGTATAAAACTTACCCATATATACAAGACACATCAATTACAACATCAATCATGTCACAGCAAAGTTCATAAGACTGCATATCCACGGGGGAACTGTCTGTTGCAATGTAGATTTTGCTGACAACATCAAAGAGAAAAGCTTTTTCAATACCTGAATTCTTGAAAAAACAAAATTGGGGAAGTGTTCAGTTTCTTTTAAGAATCATATTTTGTAACTAATCAAAGACTTTAAATTAATAAATAACATACAAGGTCATTTCTAATTGTACAACTCAATACCAAAACACAAATAATACTTGTTTGAGAAACACTTCTATTATCAAGGAATAAAAGTTGAATTATATCTCTACTTTGATTTACTGATATGATTGTCAAATTTTTTTATTCCTCTTTATTTAAATGAATTATTTTCTAAGAGATCACTAAAAAATTTAACAAAAGAATTCTCTAAAAATCAAGCTATGCTACACTGTCTATAAACCTTTCTAGTAATTATAATCCATCTCCAATTTGAGTGATCTTGCTACCGGAAAGTCCTTATGTGGGCAAACAGTAAAACACAAAATAATTACAGTTTGATGTCAACATCTGGCATAACCCAAAAGCCCAAGAGGCCACCACACACTGAATCCTTTCAAAGTAATGTTTGGAAAATATAACAGCTATATGTTAAATTTATTGGGGTGAGGGAGCAATCCTTTTTTTCTTAAGATGACACCTCAGAATAAGAATACAAAATATAAAGCTAAGATTACAGTTGGTGGCTGGGCACAGTGGCGCATGCCTGCAATCCTAGCTGAGGCAGGAAGATCAAGAGTTCAAAATCAGCCTCAGCAAAAAGGGAGATGCTAAGCAACTCAGCAAGACCCTGTCTCTAAATAAAATATGAAAAAGAACTGAGGATGTGTGTGGCTCAGTGGTTAAGTGCCCCTGGGTTCAATTCTGGTTAACCCTCCCTACAAAAAAAATAGACTACCATGGGTGAAGAAATGATCAGTTTCTTAATGTGACTTCTAATGAGGCAGAGAATAAAATGATATTGAGTCACAGCCCCAATACCCAGCCTTTTCTAGTTACTACTCTTTCATTAGGAAACAAGCATCACAAAGATATTTTTAAAGGAAGTATAAAAAGCCAGGCACAGTGTGCTTGCCTATAATCCCAGCAACTTGAAGTCGAGTCAGGAAGATTGCAAGTTCAAGGCCAGTCTCAGCAACTTAGTGAGGTCTTGTCTCAAAAAATAAAAAGGGGTGGGGAGATGGCTCAGGGGTAGAGTAACCCTAAGTTCAGTCCCAAGTACCACCAAAAAAAAAAAAAAAAAAAAAAGCATATAGAAGTTTTTTAGTAGTTCTCCTTAAAGACAAAATGGGGAGGAAACTAAGAATTCAGAAAATAACACCTCAACCCATATTTACTGCTCTTATTTTATATGTTAAGTGTGTCAGTAGTCTTTTAGCTAATTCTAGTTCCAATTTTTAGAGAATGTGAAAACAAATATATTTAACAAAAATGGAATCAGAAACTATGGAGAATTAAAGAGCTCACTTACTGATATAAAGATATTTAATAGGTTTTCCAAGGTTGGCAGTTGTGGAATGAGTTTCTGCACCACCTTACTAAAGGCTTCAAATATTGAGTGGTCATAGATACTAGTCAAATAAAAGCTGAAAAACATAATATGGTTATGATTAATGTAGAAAATACCTAAAACTTTAGTGACAACTATCATAGTATATAAAATTTTAAGTTTCTAAGCATGTGATTTCAATAAGTTCAAATAAACTTGTCTACCATCCCCATCATTTCATGACAAACACAGTCTCCCACCTGGTCTGTGGCTATTACTCCCTTTACACCATTTATAGAGAGCAACTGCAGGAGCAACCAGGAAAGAGTGTTCAGATGGAGAAACTTGAATGTTTCCCTAAGTCTTTGCAACCTGATCCGTAAATCTTGGACTCCTAAGCACATAACTATAACAAAATCCAAGATTCAAACCCAAGAAAAAACTAGAAGCGATGTGTCTCATTTATTAAATAATAATCAAGTTTCTAACAACAAATAAAAGTTCTGTCTTGACCAGCCTACCTAAAACAATAATCCTATACCTGATGCTTCCTATCCCTTTGCCATAATTTTTCCTCATAGCATTGGTAAGTACTTAACATTATACCACATTATTTATTTATAGGTGTTTTTGAGCTGTGTCATTTATCAGAACATAAGCTCCATGAGAAAAGAGACAATCTTACTCATAGCTACAAGCCCATTGCCTCAACAAATACAATTGGTGCTTAGAATTTAGGTAAACAGCATAGTAAGGAGGATGGAAGCTGGGGCCATGTAGAGAACAGAACAGGGGTCCAGAGGCCTAAAAAGGTATAAAGAAGTAACATACACAGATTTAGCAAAACATGTAACTGAAAGGCCTTTAACAATTTAAACACTGGGTGATTCCACCTGCTTTTTCACACAGAAGTATACCCTTCATTATATAATTGTATCCACAATATATTTATATGTACATAGTACAGAGTCATTTTAGACAAAAAGAGTAAGAAGAATTCATAAAATAACACCTCAAGCCATATTTTATGCTCTTATACTTTACTTTGACCCATGTTAAGTGTGTCAGTAGTCTTTAGGCTAATTCAAACCTCTTTTTGAGACTCTGAAAACACAAATATATTTTTAAAAAAAGGAATATGAAATATGGAGAATTATATAGCTTTAATAATAGTTCACCACTTTATAAATAATTTAAAAACTTTCAAGAAGCTGATGTAAGAACCTAATCCTATGTAAGGGACTAGACTCTAGATATGAGAGCACTGGAGCACCAGAGCACACAAAGTCAAATGACCTCAGAGACATTAGGGAGAAAGAAATATTTCAGTGATTCCTCTCAGTAAAAAAGGCTAGCAAATAAGAGGGCCCTCTTTGAGGTGGATGGGGACAGAAGAATCTGCAAAATATACAGCATTTTAGTTAAGCTGAGCATCTAGAAACTGGAAATCAAACAGAGCTTCATCCATAGATCTGCTAGTACTAAATAATAGCCTGATGGGGCCTGAGGATATAGCTCAGTAGTAGAATGTTTGCCTATCATGCAAGAGATCCTGTTCCAATCCCCAGTACCACAAAAATAAACAGATAAATAGTAAAAATCTGCTGCAAAATTCTACTTAGGTTAACAAGGCCTAGGGCCCTCCTAGGCCTAGGGGAAGGGGTAGTGTTACCATGGGGTGCGATGCCATTAAAAGGGACAGACACATGGAGTAAAGGCAATCAGAAAGATCCCCATGAATACCTGAGAAGACAGGATAAGCATGGCTTAAAATTCAAATAAAAAATATTAATAGTGGATTCCTAAAATATAAGGTTGAGGGATTTTTACATGAAGACAGTTTTAGTTTCTCTTACACCGCTGAATTTAACTTTTTTAAGTATGAATTGCCTATAAAATATTTTAAAATTTTAATCCAGGCAAAACAGAAGTCAGTGAGACTTTTCTACGTGGTTTCCTAGGGGCAACTGAAACATTTTGGATTCTGGGGCCCAGAAAATATTAAGAGTAGTAGGAGGGATGGCTTGAGCCTATAGGGATGTCACCATAACAGATCTGGGATAAGGAAATTACTACACTTGTGTCTCTCCTCTGCTCTCCCTTTTTGTTTCTATCATTAAAAGAACATTTTCTTGGTATTTTTAAATGCTCATTTCTACCTATATCACAAAAAATAAAATGTACAAAAATATTCCTTATATACTTCTAGAAAGCAAACACAAAGTCATCAGTCCTAAATAGTTGGTGTTCTCTAAGAGTAGTTTAATTATAAATCAGCAGTCCTTTAAACTATTTAATAGCAATAGTATGCAAACTTATAGAATAAATCCACTTAACCCAAACTTTAGAGTTTCATATAAGTATAAAATGTTTTAAAATCTAAGATACATTAGAATCAGTCCAGACTTTAAAGCATACCCCATTTATAAAAGACTCTCCCAACTAAGAAAGATACTATGGAAACTCAAGCTAGACTTCCACAACAAATGTGACAAGAGATTCCCTGCCTAGGGCAACTGGAGGGGGGCTGGGGGTGGCCAGAGTTTGAGAAAACTAAGAGTGGGGAAATCCCTAAACAGAGCCTCTTGACATGAATCTGCAAAAGCACCAATGGAAACATTTCTCATGGATTCAATTACCAGGAAAATGTAAAAAGTAACTTCTTAATAACACCAGGCTCCCAGGATAGCTTGGAATTCAATAAAGAGAAGACCAAAAACATTTCAGAACTGGGAATGGGCATACCAGTAACAGAAAACTATGGTGCCTGTAATGACAGAGATGGGAATACATCTACAGGGCTCTCATATCAAACACACATGTTGTTTTTTCAGGGCTCTCATATCAAACACACATATTGTTACCTAAGATGGAGTTTTTCTAGCCCAGCATCTGCAAGGTCATCATTGGCCCTCTGATGAATGTCCCTCTGTGTTTCTATTTTGTGATCATCAGACAG